CGGGTGAGTAGCGGGTGACTGGCGGGTGACTGGCGGGTGAGTGGCGGGTGAGTGGCGGGTGAGTGGCGGGTGAGTGGCGGGTGAGTGGCGGGTGAGTAGCGGGTGAGTAGCGGGTGAGTAGCGGGTGAGTGGCGGGTGAGTAGCGGGTGAGTGGCGGGTGAGTGGCGGGTGAGTGGCGGGTGAGTGGCGGGTGAGTGGCGGGTGAGTGGCGGGTGAGTGGCGGGTGAGTGGCGGGTGAGTGGCGGGTGAGTGGCGGGTGAGTGGCGGGTGAGTAGCGGGTGAGTAGCGGGTGAGTGGCGGGTGAGTGGCGGGTGAGTGGCGGGTGAGTGGCGGGTGAGTGGCGGGTGAGTGGCGGGTGAGTGGCGGTGTGAGTGGCGGGTGAGTGGCGGGTGAGTGGCGGGTGAGTGGCGGGTGAGTGGCGGGTGAGTGGCGGGTGAGTGGCGGGTGAGTGGCGGGTGAGTGGCGGGTGAGTGGCGGGTTGAGTGGCGGGTGAGTGGCGGGTGAGTGGCGGGTGAGTGGCGTGCCGTGGGCATCCCCTCTGGACCGACAATGGGGCGCACAGGCTGCCTGGCTGCTGAAGAACGCTCACTGGCCAAGGTAAGGTGGGGAAGGTGACGAGAGGTTGAGATGGGATGTGGTACGGGTAACACGCGGTGGGGAAGGGTGGGGAAGGGTGCATGGGTGAAGGGTGATGAGTGTGATGGGGCATGAGTGATGGGCATGAGTGATGGGCATGAGTGATGGGCATGAGTGATGGGCATGAGTGATGGGCATGAGTGATGGGCATGAGTGATGGGCATGAGTGATGGGCATGAGTGATGGGCATGAGTGATGGGCATGAGTGATGGGCATGAGTAATGGGCATGAGTGATGGGCATGAGTGATGGGCATTTCCAACATTATTGAGGCTCAGATTGGTTTTAGTGGGACCAGCCGAAGGTGCGCACACACGGTTCTTAGCAATTCAGGCGAATGGATGGGGGAATGATGGGAACCGATAGGGGCAGCACATCCCCACCCAGCCTGGGCGAGGTGGATGTAGATGAAGTGAACACCTCACTCCCACCACCATCTCACTCCCACCACCATCTCACTCCCACCACCATCTCACTCCCACCACCATCTCACTCCCACCACCATCTCACTCCCACCACCATCTCACTCCCACCACCCTCTCACTCCCACCACCATCTCACTCCCACCACCCTCTCACTCCCACCATCTCACTCCCACCACCTCCTCACTCCCACCACCTCATCACTCCCACCACCATCTCACTCCCACCACCATCTCACTCCCACCACCTCCTCACTCCCACCACCATCTCACTCCCACCACCATCTCACTCCCACCACCATCTCACTCCCACCACCTCCTCACTCCCACCACCCTCTCACTCACACCACCTCCGCACTCCCACCACCTCCTCACTCCCACCACCTCCTCACTCCCACCACCTCCTCACTCCCACCACCTCCTCACTCCCACCTCCTCCTCACTCCCACCACCTCCTCACTCCCACCACCTCCTCACTCCCACCACCTCGTCACTCCCACCACCTCGTCACTCCCACCACCTCCTCACTCCCACCACCTCCTCACTCCCACCACCTCCTCACTCCCACCACCTCCGCACTCCCACCACCTCCTCACTCCCACCACCTCCTCAGCTCCCACCACCTCCTCACTCCCACCACCTCCTCACTCCCACCTCCTCCTCACTCTCACCACCTCCTCACTCCCACCACCTCCTCACTCCCACCGCCCTCCTCACTCCCACCACCTCCTCACTCCCACCACCACCTCTGCTATGCAGAAGACTCTGAAGGGGCAGCAAGAGGTCCAGTCAACCAGGCTGGAACCTAGACCTCGCTACGGTCAAACGCGACGGCGTCCTGGCGACAGCCACCCTCTTGCTCCCTCCCACCGCCCTCTCACTTACGGCCATCCCTGCCATGCAAGAAACGAAGCTCAAGGTGGCAGGTAGGTGTAACAGGTGACACTCTGGATCATGCCGTCTGGATCTTGAGCCTCTGGTGGGGGTGGAGGAGGGGTGGAGGGGGGGGGGGGGGGGGGGGGGGGGGGGGGGGGGGGGGGGGGGGGGGTCCTGGAAATAGAGGGTCGCTTTGGACCATAACTTGATCGGATGCATCAGTCCAGCCAGCTGTGCGGAGAAAGTCAATCCACCCCATTCTTCCCCCACCATCTCACTCTCAACGCCATCTCACTCCCACCACCATCTCACTCCCACGCTTCCCCTGGGAAGGAAGCCAGACTGCAGTCAACACTTACTGCAGTCAAATGCGGAGTCCTGCCACAAGGGAGAATCTCCAACAACCCAATTGTAGCAGGCAGCTTGGGTTGTGTTGTGTGCCCCTTCACAAGATGTTTAAAACTGTACCGTTTACGGTATATTAAATCCCGTCGATGTACTGCACTAGCTAGGTTTGTTAGTATGCGCTGTAGCGCATGAGTATTATTCACCCTACGATATTTTAAATTCACAATCATCATGTTAGCATTTGTGGAGAGATTAATTGGGTTCACTTTATGATTATTTTGTAGAAACGTGTTCATCACGTTCAGTTAGCTATATGGTTGTGTAATGTTGGAAACAATTAACTCTACGCGCCTCTGTCGTGTCGAAACACCAAGTCAGAAGCGAAGCAAAGCATGTCGAAGCACTGGCGAGTCAACCCTCGGAGGTTGTGCAGTTGCTGGAGGTTACGCGAAAGTCAAAGGTCAGCGACCTTTGACCTGACAAGTACAGCGCGACAGCAAGGACACACAACTGACTCATTACAGAGCAGTTGCCCGAGTCGTCACTGTATCGAACCGCAACAGCAACAGTAAAGTAGTTATAACTGTATCTCTTCATATTCCCTGTACCCTATATAATCTTGTATCTCTTTGCTTTAATCAATCAATTTTGCCCTCACATACTAGCGCAAGGTGGTTCACAACCCTTCATTAAACGTTTCCGCTATTACATCAGTTATACCCACAGTTCACCCCTGCAAAGATCCCAAGGGCTATTTTTCTCAGCCCAACATGGTATGAGAGCTATCAAGGGGAATTCAACTATCAAAACACCTACAACATCAGAAGACATGGCTACTCATAAAGAAAGGAGTTCCTCTATTGGTTCTCCCGGTACTACTCCTACTCCACCTCCTGCCTCTGGCCTACAGACAGAGGAGGGTACGGCAAGAAGACCAAGGGCAACATCCACCGAGACTCCTGCAAATCAACCTGCAGGTTTCGACCAGAGCATAAGTTTTTCTCCTTCATGTCCTTCTGGGAGCAACACCAGCAATTGGCACCTGCGCAGTCACACAACAGCAACAACAACAATGACGTGTCTCTAATGAGCCTTGATGGTTCATCCTACGCACGTGGAAATCAACAGCAGCAACCTACCTTTGCTCCGTACGAGCCCCAGCGCGGTTCCATCAGCTTTATGCCACAAGCGCAGCCTGCACCTGGACAAGAGAAGACACTGGATGTGCTACAAGTTCAGTCGCAGTTCACGCACGTTCTGAAGCTGCAGACATCAAGACCTTTCGACGGAAAGGACCTTTTTTACCTGGTGATTCGAGTTCGAGCTGATGATGGAAGGCGCGCAAATCCTCGGCTTCTTCGACGGATCCCTGCCATACATAACAAACGGCACACAGTACGAGAAGCAGCAGTACACCTATCAGTCAATGATGGCATACACAATCCTACTGAGGAATATCACCCCGACTCAACAACAGAATATACGGTCTTACCGGGGATACGGCAACTCCGTCGAGCTCGCATACAGCCACTTGAAAAGCCTGTACCAAGCAACAGACAGCGTAAGTCAGAGTCGACTAATGGCGCAACTGACAGCGGTCGAAATGAAACCAGGGGAAAAGGGGATGGCGTATATCAGTCGCTGTCGCGAATTGCGCGACAAACTCCTTCGATGCGGAGGGTCGATATCTGAAGACGCCTTCGTGACAGTCATCATTGGCGGCCTCGGTCCTCAATGGCGCGCCACAAAAGCCATTCTCCGAGCTCACGGAAGAATCTCCGAAGCAGCACTTTGCTCTGAAGTTCATGCCAACCAACAAGACATGGAGCTGCAAGAAGAAAGATACAAGAGGAAGACGTCAGCACCGGAATTCGCTTTCCACACTCAGCGACACTATAACAACAACAACAACCGACACCAACCAAAGTCTCTACCTCCGTTCTGCCACATCTGTAAGACGTGAGGACACCCACGCACGCACTGCCCCAACCGACAACAATCAACAACAACGAAGCGGTAGCTTCGACCCTCGAGCAGTCAGGTCGCCTCTACACAAGTGAACCCCACCATCCAAGTGCAAGCCTCAAGCGTATAAACGCTTATCGTATATACGCAATCTTATATATGCTGTACGCTGTAGGGACGGGTTTGGAAATCCGCTTTTTCAGGCAGAAAAAAAACTTCCCGGGCAGGGTCAAAAAAAGCCGGGGGGGGGGTATGGGGCCTGAAGTTTCAGAGATTTTTTTTTTCCACATTACACATATACCACGGCCTACACATAAGTAGTGTCATCACTACTATCATCACTACCATCACTACTATCATCACTTACCATCATCACTTACCATCACTACTATCATCACTACTCCATCACGACCATCACTTCTCTCTAAGACAAGCTACGTACTACTCCTTAGGACTAGTCGCCTACAACAAGCCACATTTGCCCCCTCTAGTTAGCGTACTCGTCTTCAAGGATGTCGTCTTTGCCTTCCTCCTCATCCTCTCCCTTCGTCTCGTCTTCCAGCCCATTGTATCCCGCTGGGATTGGAGGCTCCGCTCCAATCCCGGGCACCACATGTGGCAAGACATCGGCGCGCGTATGCCAGTTGCGCACAACATTCCAGTTGTGCACAACATAGACCAAGTCCCTGCACTTGGCGGATCTGAGCCTGTTTCGACGTGCGGTGTGGACGGCATCTCACGAGGACCATCCACGCTCACAAGGTGAGGCTGACACGGCCTTGAGACAACACCCGTACCGCGAGCTCTGCCACTCGAGGGGCATCAGTCCCATTCCACTGCCACCACTTCACCATGCTATACTTTCCCTCTTTCACCAGCTTCCTCTGTGCCACGGCTTCCGGCATCCCAAAAGAACCCTTCATGTCAAGGAACGCCCTCAGCCCGTCCCCCAGCTCAAGCAAGATGTCGCACGCGTCATCCCCCCCATCCCCGCGGCTCGCAAGGAACTCGGCCTGCTGGCTGATGAACGCCTTGAAGACTTTCGTGCACTCGGGATCAATGCCGAAAATATCTTCCTCCTGATTCGCGGGGTTGAGGATGCCGCCAGCGACATGCGTGGCGCATGCGAGGCTGCCGTCCCAGCCGTCTCTGAGGATGCGGCGGATCTTGTCCTTGTCCCCGTCGCTCAGCTGCTCCTCGTCCGCATCGAGCAAGCCCCCCACGTCCTCAGTCAACTACAGCATCAAATCGTACAGCCTCCCCATCATCCCCACGGCATGCCCGTCCGTCTGCCTCATCACCTTAAAGGGCAGCTTCAGCAGGGCGACAAAGAACTCGGCCGTCTTCCACCAGGCGGCATCATGGATCAGCGCACTGAACCCGTTACACGATTTCTTCCGGTCCCCTACCGCCCACTCCTTCTAGCCCTCGCTCGTCACCATGTTGGTAAGGCTGCCGCGCATCGCACATAGCCGGGATATGGCTATGTAGTTGGTCTCGAATCGGGTCCCAGCCGGCTTCAGCGCCTGCAGAACCTTCCCCTCCACCAATTCCGGCTTCCACAGGTACCCTCGGGTCCAGTGGTGTTGCGGACAAAGCTAGATATCTCCCCTCCCTTGTCGACCACCGGCTTAGCCGATCCCATCTTTCCGACATCTTCCATGAGAAGATCCAATACGTGAGGGGCGCACGGCACATCCTGAATGTGCGGCCACTCCCATATGAGCTGCTTCACCGCCACCGCATAGTTCGACCCCCCGTCCATGCAGAACGCAACAACGTTCTCTGGACCCACTTCCTCCACCACGGGCCTAAGAATCCTCGCCACGTAACTTCCGGTTTTTCCTCTCCATGTTGCAGTCAATACAGTCGGTGAAGACGGCGCTGGAATCGTTTACGATAAGCACGTTCGCCTGCGGCCTGCCGTTGCGGTCCGTCATCATGTCGGACGAAACCGTCATGCCGTCCTCTTCCAGCTTGCCTTAATGCCCACCAAATCCTGCTCGATTCCGTTGCGACACGAGAGAAGGCCAGCACCACCGATGTATTTCCTCTTGGGAGGGACGTAGTCGACGCCGGACGCGCTTGACGAGGTTCAATGCATTGACCATCAGAGGATGGTCAATGTGGCGCTCGGGGATATGGAGGGCGGCCCAAGCAAGCGCAAGTGCCTCGTCCGCTTCTCTCTTTCTTGCAGTCGCATCCCCCTCAAGGTAATCGGTGATGCGCGCCCGCTTCACACCATTAGCCTTGACCGCGGCAACCGCTTCAGCTGCTGCCCGCCTCTTCTATTCGGCCGCAGCAGCCTTTGCCTCGTATTTCGCGCGCATGGCCAAGCGCACATCTTGCGGCGCATCCTTGCAAAGCACCACTTCACGGCGTTTCATCCCCTTCCACGACGTAAAGTGTTGCGCGCATCGGATGGCAGCACCAGTGTAGACGTTGTTGCAGAACTTGCACTCGTACTGCTGAGCTTTTTCCCTCGACCCTCTTGATAATGCGGAAGTGCTTGAAGACGCCATGGTCAACATCGGGTAGATACTCCCGTGCCTCGGTTAGAAGAGTTTGTGAACTGCCAACGGTGGTAACTGACGGTGGCGTTAGAGGAGAGGTAGTAGTCGTCGACATAGGCACCATGCGCTAGGGAATGCCTAGTGCTCTGCTGGTAGCGAGAGAAGACCTAATGAGTTGGATGTTGGGGGCGTGGTTGTTTTATAGCGAGTTGATTGTGGGAGTGGGAAGATGGCCAACAAAAATTGGAGAGGTGTTGGTTGCGAAGGGTTTGAATGCGTTACTGATATTGAACACCAAAATGTGAAGGAACGTGCAAGCGCGACTTGACGAACTTGACTTTCCATTTGCAACACGAACTTTCAACCCACGTCCACGTTAGCACACAGCGCGGACGTGCCATCTGACCCCGCCAATGTCTTCGTCATGCAATTCCGAAGCGAACCGTATAGGTTGAAATTTTCTGGCCGGGCTGCCCCAAAAAAAAATTGGCGAGCGTATAGCGTATTCGATAGCGTTTAGCGTTTTGCGTATACACGATAGCGTGTATACGCTAAACGCAAACAGGTTTGAGCGTATATTCCCACTAAGGTGAGGAGCAGGAAAACTAGGGAGAGAAGGAAGAGGAGGGAGAGAAGGAAGAGGGATGGGAGAAGAAGGACGGGGAGGTGAAAGGAGGAGACGAATGTGGCAGGCTCAGCCGACCACTTACATTGGCGTGGAGGCATGCAGCAGGTGAGTCGAGGAGGTTTCAGCACGTCAAATTTCCGCACCCCCCCTCCTCACGTCTTTTCTCTCCCCACCTCAAACTCCTCGTTCACCAGGTGCTCACCAGGTGCTCGCCAGGTGCTCACCAGGTGCTCGCCAGGTGCTCGCCAGGTGCTCGCCAGGTGCTCACCAGGTGCTCATCAGGTGCTCACTCCCGAGCTCACCGCGCTGCTCCAATGGGCGTGCTGCTTACCACCAAGTGGAAGGGGTGCCTGGGGCAGGTGGGGAGCGGGAGGGAGTGGTGACAGTGAATGGTGTGCAACGATGGGGAGCCAAGTGTATGGTGCTGGCGCCTGATGCGGAGGTGCCTGAGAGAGGTGAGTATTTGGGGGGAATTGAGAGGAGAATGGGGGGAAGGGTGAGGAGAATGGAGTGGGAGAGGAGATTGGGGGGTTTATTATTATGCAAAACATTCCCGTGAATTTGCACCATCGTTTATCGCTTCTGTTGGATGGTCTTGAGGTGGGCTGTGTGTGAATGCACCACTCAATGTTTAAACCACCCCCACCCACCCTCCCCACCCCTCTTCCACCCAATCTCCAGGTGGTCTTGAGATAGCCCTCACATCCACCCCATCAGAAGCTGCCGCATGCAGCATTCAAAGTTCCACGTATCCCTTTGCAACCAGCCTCACCACCATCACCCTACCCCACCCCCTCCTCTGTCGTCTCCCCAGGTGGCCTTGACGCTGCCCCTATCCCAACACATCACCACTCATCCCAACACTTGCAGGTAGCACACGGTGGGTGCAGGTCCAGGTTGCTAGAGGCTGAAGTGGGGCGTTGGTACTATCAGGTAGCACATGGTGAGCTGGATTTGGGGGGAAGTGAATGCCTGCGGGGGTAATGCTCGGCTCGCAACATTCTTGTGGTTGTGGCTCTGTCCTGACACCGCCTGGCTAAGATAGGGTGGAGAAGTTGTAGAGGTTGAGGCGGAGTGTTGGTGCTTCATGTAGCACACTGTGGTGGGGGCGGGGGGCTTGCATGTGTGGGGAGTAGTGTACACAGCATTCCTGAGCTTGTGCCTTTCTCTGATGCCCCCTTGCAAAGGTAAGTTGGCTATTGGGTGAGGTGGCTAGAGGCTGCGGTGCAATCAGGTAACGCACGGTAAAGTGGGGAAGAGAGGATTGGAGGAATCAGGTCGCGGTGAGCTATTGGCATGCGTGTGTGAGGCGCAATGCATGCGGAATCCACGAGGTTGGTGACTGCCTCTCTCCAGATGCCCCATGACTAAGGCGTCTGCAGGTGAAGGTGGGGGGCGAGGAACTGCTTAAGGGGAAGTCCTGTGACCAGGTGGATGGGGGAAGGCTGGGACGGAAGAGGTGTGTGGGCTATAGATGTTGTATCTATCAGGTATCATGGTGGTCTGTGCGTGAGGTGATGGGAGAGTGGTGCTGACTTAGGTGGCAGAAGGGAGGCAGCAGCACCAGGCGGAATCTGGAGGGGATGTGAGTGGGGAGGGGAGTAAGCGGTTGCTGTGAAGCAGCACGAGCGCTCATTTTCTCGTGTACACTACTCGATTTCTGAGGCGCTTCAAAAATCTGGAGGGGATGTGAGAGGGAAGTAAGTCGGTTGCGGCGATGACGCACAAGGCGCATGCTTGCTCGCTTGCAATAACTTTCTTTTCCCCACTCGGCCCTTCCACCTTCATGCCTACCCCGTCTTGGCTGTTTATCAGCTCTGGAGACCACACTCTGATGGGGATGTTGCGTGCATCATTTCCCATGCTGCATGCATCAACCCCCATGCTGCATGCATCACCCCCCATGCTGCATGCATCAACCCCCATGCTGCATGCATCACCCCCCATGCTGCATGCACCATTTCCCATGCCGTATGCATCAACCCCCATGTTTATCAGCTCTGATGACTGCAATGGGGGAGATGCATGCATAGTCCCCAGCGCATTGCATTGCACCCACTCTTGACCTCGTCTTATTGCATCCTCCCATCTCCTTTCTCCCTGCCACCCAGATACTACACTGGCTGCGCTGCCGTGTGAGTGCCGTGGTAATATGGACGACAATGAGTCCATATGATGTTCGAGTCACTTCTCGAAAGTGACGCACACAGTGATTCCGTGCTTGCATTGCAGTTCCCTCAGCCTCTCGTCAACTCTTTCCATTGTGCTGTGTTGCTCTGAGCAACACCATTTGCTAACCTCACCTTTCATGCTGCCAGGCCTTGAACCGCCCACGATGCCGGGTGCGCTGTCCCCATGTGGCAAGGTGAGTAGAGTAGTGGCTGAGGTGCATGGGAGTGGTAATACACGCAACATTCCCATGGTCATAACTCTCACCAGACGTCGCCATTCCAAGGTGAGGGCAGGGTGAGGTTCGATGGTTGTGCTATCAGGTAACATGCGGTGAGGTGGGTGCAAGCAGGCTGAGGTGGGAGTGCTACTGCTATCAGCTAACACAAGGTAAAGGTAGTGAATGGGGGGTGCATGAATGAGGATTAATGCACGCAGCATCCCTGTGGTTGTGGCTCTATCAGTCTCAGCGCCGCCTGGGCAAGCTGAGTGCAAGCTGCAGTGGGTGTTGGCTCTTATTGGGGAGTACAGGTCAATATAAGGTGGGAGGTTGTGCATGCTTATTTGGCTGTCTATGGTGAGCACGAAGGTGGGAAATCGAGGAAGCATGACCATAAGGGGTTGTAAGTTGCACACACAGTTGGGGTGCACTGCCGACGCGGTGCACAGCCTGCTGAGGAGTGTTCTCGCATAGTTTGTGATTGTTGGAGGGGCAGACAGATTAGGGGAGAAATCTTTAGCAGAAAGGGCAGGTGGAGGATCAAGAAGTCATGTCAACGAGGCTGCTGCTCGAGCCATGCTGGGGGTAGCGCAAGAGTTACAAGCTTGCGAATCAAGCTGTGCTTCGGTGGCGAGATCAGCGACACGATCAACCTGAGAACTGTTTACTCTTGTTTTGAACCAAGAATTTCAAGGTCAAACGCAACAAAGTCGTAAAACGAGGGATCTGGCAACAACTGCCTTCTTGCTCCCTTCGCTCTCACGCTCCCACTGCCCTCTACTCCCACCGCCATTATCGCTACCTTATGTAACAAATGAAGCCTGGTGGGAGCAGCAAGAGGTCCACCAGGCACGCTGGAGCGAAGACTTGCTACAGTCAAATGCCGAGTTATGGGGGGGAGGGGCGGAGAATTACAACCCGACACATCCAATCTATAAATAGTTAAGTGGAAACTCGTAATTTCAGAGCACTAGCCAAGTTCGTACGTGTTGTAGCGCATAAGCGATCATCCGCAGTGGTTGAACTTTGAATAGTAATCTTGTACAACTTGTGGAGAAATCAACTGTCGTTGTTTCAATTTTTTACCTACAACTCGTTTCTTTCCTTTGTGTGCGTATAAGAGTTCATTGTTTATTACTGTAGGGTTACTCTATCCTTTCTCTTCCGTCGAGTTCGCTTCTACTGGTTCGGCCTAAAATTCCGCTCCGAACCAATTCCGAGTCGCAGCCGCACTTTTCGCCAAACTTCCGAGCCTCGTTCACGCCGAGGTCTTCGCCTAGCTCGACCCAGCCAATTTGTACCTCGTTTTAGACATTCCCGGGATACTCTGTTGTATCTTGTAGCGTTTCTGTCTGGAAAACTTGCGAATTCCTAACAGTCTGTAGGAGTCACACAGCAGGATCAGGAAGTGAAAGCTGGGTAGGCAGCAGTGGAGCGTCGAATAGGTGGCTCAATAGTCGTCGCGTCGAAACGACAGACAGGGCGACTTGAGCGAGAAGAGAGATACGACAGCAGAGGCGCGAGGAGCAGCAGCAATGGCGGGTGGGCAAACAGAAAAGCCTGACATTCGATGAGAGACATGATAAGACATTGCGATACTGCGTTGGCAATCGAAGGTCGTTTAGAGCGTCAGGTATTGGCGCAAATGCTACTGCGTCAGCGCGACAGATAGGCAACGACACATGGCGACGGGGATGAGAGTGCGACGGACCGCGACGCGAGAGCGAGGGACTGCGACGCGAGAACGACAGACCGCGACAGAGAACGACGGACTACGATGAGAGAGCGACGGACGGCGACGAAACCGCGACTGTCTGCGGCGAAAAAGGCAACAGTAGACGACGATAGCGATAAAAAGCGATTCGCGATGGCGGAGAGCCGCGACAGCAGAGGCGAGCAGCAGCAATAGCGGATGGGGCAAGCACGGGAGCGCAGGCGGGGCTCCCGGCGGGGGTGGGCTGCCAAGACAGCACCGTTACTGCGAGCAGCACCGACCGCCACCGCCGCGGCCCCCGCCGCCGGCGCCACCTCCACCGCCGCCATCGCCGCTGCGCGTGCGCCTCTACCGCCCGCATTCGCGAGAGTCCGCGGAAATCAGTTTGCGCGCCAGGGAGAGGTGGAGCGCAGATGGGATCAGAAGTGATGGGAACAGTGACGGGTGGTAACGCGGAGTGAGAAGGGGGGGCCGGAACGAGGAGGGTTGGCCAGAGAGAGGAGGGGAAGTGAGCTTGCGGGCGCGCGTGGCTTGGATTTGGCGGGAAACGAGGCAAGGGGTGGGAGAAAGCGGGGCAGGACTCAAGCCGCAGGAGGCGGAGCAGAATGGGGGAGGAGGTGAGAAAGGGCAGGCAGAGGGCTGGAGAAGGGCGGGAAGTGGGAAGGGGCAAGAGGGATGAGAAGGGGATGCGAGGGGGACCGGGGTAGAGGGGCGCGAGCGATTGGGGGAGGACGCTGGGAGGGGCGCGGAGGGGTCCCGGGGGGAATCGGTGGGAGGAGGCAGGTTCGGAGTGAAACCTAGCAACGTGGGAGAGCATGGGTGTGAGGCAGGGGGAAGGAGAGGCAGACGCTGAAGCAGAAGAGAATGGGGAGGGGAGGTGCTGGTGAGACAGGCGGGCGGGGGGGAGAGAGATGGGGGAGACGGGTAATGGGGAGGGGGGACGGGGAGAAGCGGGAGACGGGGGAGGGGGAGAAGGGGAATGGGAAGGGAGCGAGGTAGGGGGTGAGGGAACGGGAGAGGGTGGGAGAAGAAGACGGGCGTGTGGATCATGGGGTTGGGGGGACGGGACTCATGGCGATGGATGGTGGGAGGTATGGAGGAGGCATAAGAGGCGTGAAGTGGACTGTGCCACACTCGTGGGGGTGGGAGAGGCGAGGGGGAGTTCAGAGGGGGGAGAGGCGAGTGGGTGTGGGGGTATAGGGAGGGGAGAAGAGGGGACGGAGTCATGGTAGGGTGGGATGGAGGGCAAGGGGGAGGAGGAAGCGGAGTGCATGGAGAGGTGAGGGAAGGGGGACAGAGAGAAGGGGCAAGCGAGGGGCAAGGAGGGGAGCAGAAGGGATGCTGAGGTGAGGTCCCCTTGCCCGTTTTCAAACCCCCCTTTTTCCTTCTCATCAACCCTTTTCCCTCTCCCTTCCACCCTGCTCCCTCTCTTTATCTCCCCTTGCCTTTCCCATCCCCTCCGGCCTCCTCATTCTCCCCTGGACCCCTACTTTCCCCCTTCTTTTCCCTCCTTCTCGTCCACATCCCACCTTTTCCTCGACGGCCCCTCTCCTTCCACTCCACCCCACTTAAATCCTACCTTTTACCTTTCTGCTCCTCGCACAGGGATCGATGTCCCCCTAAGGAGGCTGAAGGGGGCCATTCTTTCCCCCTACACACCCCCACTTCCCCCCTACTCATTCCCACGCACCCCTCCCGCCTTTGCACCCTTCTCCCTCCACGCAATGCGGCAGCGGTGCTACCAGCACTGCAAGAGACCCATCGTTCCCTTCCCCATTCCCCCTCCGCCTGTCCCCCCTGCGCCATCTCCCTCCATCTCCCCTACACATGGGAGCAGGGAGCCATGAGGCGGCGCGTGCTGGCCTGGCAGGGCTAAAGATGATCCCTTCTTTCCCCTCCATGTTGAAGGCTCCCCCTTCCCCCCCTCAACTCCCCCCATGCACAGGAAGCCATGAGGCAGCGCGTGCTGCCAGGGCTGAAGGAGATTTCGCTTTTCCCCCTCCGCAACCCCCTTTCTACTTCAACCCTCCACGCCCAGGGAAACAATGCGGCGGCGGGTGCTAGCAGGGCTGAAAGTGGTGCGAGTCACTTTTGAGAATTTCTCAAAGCTGGGGCAGGCGGTGAATGGTAGGAGGAAACCCCCCTTCTCTCCTCGCCCACCCATGTCCCCCTCAAACTTCTCCACGCACGCATGAGAAGCAGGGATTGGCTCCGTCCAGACATCGCCTGGCCAAGGTGCTGCAGGTGTTCAGTGTGGTGTGGTGGGAGTGCATGTGTGTGGGTGGGATAATGCTCGCAACACTCCCGTGGTTGTGGCTCTCTCCAGACGCCGCCTGGCCAAGGTGAGTGCTGGTGGGGTGCTGGTGCTATTAGGTAACATACAGGGAGTGCAAGGTGATCACAGGTGTTGAATGTGGTGGGTGCTGGTGCTATTCGGTAGCATACCGGAGGCTGGGAACCAGCACATGGGGGGGGGTGCAAGTGTGAAATAGACCTGCACGTGGCAGTCCGTGCACTTTGCTCTATCTCAGCACTGCCTCGCCAATGTGAGTAGAGCTCAACGCGATTGCAAGCTGAGGTGTCTAGATGTTGAGGTGGCTAGTTGCTGAGGTGGCTAGATGTTGAGGTGGCTAGTTGCTGAGGTGGCTAGATGTTGAGGTGGCTAGTTGCTGAGGTGGATATATGCTGAGGTGGTTCGATGCTGAGGTGGGTAGATGGAGAGTTGCTATATGCTGAAGTGGCTATATGCTGAAGTCGCTAGATGCTGAGGTCGCTAGATGCTGAGGTGGTTAGAGGGTGGCTAGAGGCTGAGGTGGCTAGTTTCTGAGGTGCCTATATGCTGAGGTGGTTAGAAGCGTGGGGGGCTAGACGTTGAGGTGGTTAGAAGCGTGGGGGGCTAGACGTTGAGGTGGTTAGAGGCTGAGGTGGGGTGTGGTGCTATCAGGTAGCACACGGGAAGGTCCGGGAACCAGCACCACAGGGGAGTGCTTGCAGCATTCCCGTACTCATTGCTCTCTCGCGACTCCGCCTGGGCAAGGTGAGTGCAGCTGTTGAATGCGGTGGGGTGGGAGTGCCGTGCTGTGAGGTAGCACACAGTGAGGTGGGTAACAGTGGGAGTGCTTACGTGATGGGTAACGCACACTGTTTTCTTCCCATTGTTGCCCACGAACAAACCTTGTGGTTCTTTTCCGCCGTCGCCTGCCCAAGATGACTAGAGGCTGTGAGGTGGGGTGGGGACTCGGCCTCGAGTCGCCTTGGCTTGGCTTGACTCATGCAAGCACGGCTCCATTTCCGCGCTGTCGCATGTGTGCCATGGGGAGTCAACGATTCAGGAGTTAATGGTTCAGGACGGCAGTGGGTGGGGCTCTATGGGGAGATGATGCTCACTCCATGGGGAGATGATACTCACTCACTCCATGGGGAGATGATACTCACTCACTCCATGGGGAGATGATACTCACTCCATGGGGAGATGATACTCGCTCACTCCATGGGGAGATGATACTCACTCCATGGGAAGATGATACTCACTCCATGGGGAGATGATACTCACTCCATGGGGAGATGATACTCACTCGCTCCATGGGTAGATGATACTCACTCCATGGGGAGATGATACTCACTCCATGGGGAGATGATACTCACTCCATGGGGAGATGATGGGGGCAGAGAGGAACAGATGGATAGTGCGACCATCTCCCACCACCATCTCATTCCCACCGCCATCTCACTTCCATGGCCCTGACTCTGTCCTTGTGCTCACCTCCTGCCTCTCACCCCGGCGACACACTCACTCCATGGGGAGATGATTAGGCAGAGAGGAACACATGGATGGGGCGATGATGGGTGAAGAGAGGGACACATGGATGGACCGTCTCACTCCCACCACCATATCTGTCATGCCCGAAATGAAGCCTAGTGGGGTTTAGGGTTGGAGTGTCTCTGCGAGCAGCACAGGCTGGAGTGGTGGCGGCGGCGGCGCGACAGTGGCGGTAGAATGCGGTGTAGGTCACGCTCCGCCGTCACCACCGCCGTCGTCGTCGCCGCCGCTGCCGCTGCCACCGCCGCCGCCACTCCTGCTACGCGTGAGGCCTCTACCGTTGAGAGTCAGCGGAGAATGATTTGCGCGCCAGTGGGATGGGGAGCGCATATGAGGGTGACAATGACGGGCTGCCGCGCGGAGGGGGAAGGGTAGGCGGAGTGTTGAGGGGAGGGATCGAGAGGGAAGGGGGAGTGAGAATGCGGGCGCGCGTGGGTTTGGTTTGGCAGAAACGAGGCGAGGAGTGGGAGAAGGGGGAGCAGGAGGGCGGAGGAAGGGCGAATGGGCAGGCGGAGGAGTGGGGCGCGGGTGCAGGTGAAGCCAGCAACCAGGGAGAGCATGGATGTGAGGCGGGAAATGGAGAGGCAGACCCCGAAGCAAAAGCGTGTTAGTGGATTGACGAGAATAGTGCTGCAGGATAGACAGGCGTGTGGGGAGGGAGTTGAGGGGGATGCGGAGAAGGGGGGTGGGGAGGAAGAAGGGCGTGTGGTGCATGGGGGTGGAGGGAGGTGTGGAGGAGGCACGAAATGGTTGGAGCATGAGTGGCGAGAAGGAGTGTTCTGTCATTTCAGTGAGGGTGGGAGAGGTGAGACGGGAGGCAGAGGGGGGAGAGGCGAGATGGGAGGCAGAGGGGGGAGAGGCGAGATGGGAGTGCAGAGGGGGGAGAGGCGAGAAGGGAAGCAGAGGGGGGAGAGGCGAGGGAGGAGTCAGGGGAGAGTGAGAGGAGGGCAGGGGAAGGATGGGAGGTCGCCGAGAGAGGTGGAAGTAGAGGCGAGGGAGGAGGGGCAGAGAGTGGAGGAGAGGGAGGTTGATGGAAAAGGAGTTTGGTAGGCGAGGGAGGAGAAAGGGAGGGGAGAAGGGAGGAAGGGAGAGAGCACGGAGGGGAGGAGAAGAGATGAGAGGAGGAGAAGTGCAGGGAAGAAGGCAGCGTGATGAAAAGGCAGCATCAGGTCTGAGGCAAGCAGCAGGTTAGGCAAGCAGCAGGTATAGGCGAGCATCAGGTTAGGCAGCAGCAGGTTAGGCAAGCAGCAGGTTAGGCAAGCAGCAGGTTAGGCAAGCAGCAGGTTAGGCAAGCAAGCAGGTTAGGCAAGCAGCAGGTTAGGCAGCAGCAGTTAGGCAGCAGCAGGTTAGCCAAGCAGCAGGTTAGCAAGCAGCAGGTTAGGCAAGCAGCAGGTTAGGCAAGCAGCAGGTTAGGCAAGCAGCAGGTTAGGCAAGCAGCAGGTTAGGCAAGCAGCAGGTTAGGCAAGCAGCAGGTTAGGCAAGCAGCAGGATAGGCAAGCAGCAGGTTAGGCAAGCAGCAGGTTAGGCAAGCAGCAGGTTAGGCAAGCAGCAGGTTAGGCAAGCAGCAGGTATAGGCAAGCAGCAGGTTAGGCAAGCAGCAGGTTAGGCAAGCAGCAGGTTAGGCAAGCAGCAGGTTAGGCAAGCAGCAGGTTAGGTAAGCAGCAGGTTAGCCGAGCTCAGGTTAGGCAAGCAGCAGGTTAGGCAAGCAGCAGGTTAGGCAAGCAGCAGGTTAGGCAAGCAGCAGGTTAGGCAAGCAGCAGGTTAGGCAAGCAGCAGGTTAGGCAAGCAGCAGGATAGGCAAGCAGCAGGTTAGGCAAGCAGCAGGTTAGGCAAGCAGCAGGTTAGGCAAGCAGCAGGTTAGGCAAGCAGCAGGTTAGGCAAGCAGCAGGATAAGGCAAGCAGCAGTTAGCAGCAGGTTAGGCAAGCAGCAGGTTAGGCAAGCAGCAGGTTAGGCAAGCAGCAGGTTAGGCAAGGCAGCAGTTAGGTAAGCAGCAGGTTAGCCGAGCAATCAGGTTAGGCAAGCAGCAGGTTAGGCAAAGCAGCAGGTTAGGCAAGCAGCAGGTTAGGCAAGCAGCAGGTTAGGCAAGCAGCAGGTTAGGCAAGCAGCAGGTTAGGCAAGCAGCAGGATAGGCAAGCAGCAGGTTAGGCAAGCAGCAGGTTTAGGCAAGCAGCAGGTTAGGCAAGCAGCAGGTTAGGCAAGCAGCAGGTTAGGCGAGCATCAGGTTAGGCAAGCAGCAGGTTAGGCAAGCAGCAGGTTAGGCAAGCAGCAGGTTAGGCAAGCAGCAGGTTAGGCAAGCAGCAGGTTAGGCAAGCAGCAGGTTAGGCAAGCAGCAGGTTAGGCAAGCAGCAGGTTAGGCAAGCAGCAGGTTGGGCATGCAGCAGGTTAGGCGTCTCCCACGAACTTGAGGTCCTCAGAGGTGTTAGGAGAAGAGCAGCAAGGAGGAATCCTTTCCACAGGAGGATCGATCACTGAACCATAGTCTCAGCCGCACCCTCACCGTTCGCCCACAACTCCGCCGCCATTGCCTCTTCCCAGCCATGCACTCCAGGTGACTGCAGGTGTGCACTCCAGGTGACTGCAGGTGTGCCCTCCAGGTGAATGCTAAAACCCACTCGGAAGCACCGGTGGCTGCACTGCTGGTCCATATCCCCTTCTTCCTCCCCCCCCACCCCTCCCTTGACCCATTCCCTCAGTCCCTTGACCCATTCCCTCAGTCCCTTGACCCATTCCCTCAGTCCCCTGACCCATTCCCTCAGTCCCCTGACCCATTCCCTCAGTCCCCTGAGACATTCCCTCAGTCCCTTGACCCATTCCCTCAGTCCCTTGACCCATTCCCTCAGTCCCTTGACCCATTCCCTCAGTACCTTGACCCATTCCCTGAGTCCCTTGACCCATTCCCTGAGTCCCTTGACCCATTCCCTCAGTCCCTTGACCCATTCCCTGAGTCCCTTGACCCATTCCCTGAGTCCCTTGACCCATTCCCTCAGTCCCTTGACCCATTCCCTGAGTCCCTTGACCCATTGCCTAAGTCCCTTGACCCATTCCCTTAGTCCCTTGACCCATTCCCTCAGTCCCTTGACCCATTCCCTGAGCCCCTTGACCCATTCCCTGAGTCCTTGACCCATTCCCTGAGTCCCTTGACCCCATTCCCTCAGTCCCTTGACCCATTCCCTGAGTTCATTGACCCATTCCCTGAGTCCCTTGACCCATTCCCTCAGTCCCTTGACTAATTCCCTACAGTCCCTTGACCCATTCCCTGAGTCCCTTGACCCATTCCCCGAGTCCCTTGACCCATTCCCTGGAGTCCCTTGACCCATTCCCTCAGTCCCTTGACCCATTCCCTCAGTCCCTTGACCCATTCCCTGAGTCCCTTGACCCATTCCCTGAGTCCCTTGACCCATTCCCTGAGTCCCTTGACCCATTCCCTCAGTCCCTTGACCCATTCCCTGAGTCCCTTGACCCATTACCATGAGTCCCTTGACCCATTACCTCACTCCTTTGACCCATTCCCTCAGTCCCTTGACCCATTCCCTGAGTCCCTTGACCCATTCCCTCAGTCCCTTGACCATTTCCTCAGTCCCTTGACCCATTCCCTCTGTCCCTTGACCCATTCCCTCAGTCCCTTGACTTGACCCATTCCCTGAGTCCCTTGACCCATTCCCTCAGGCCCTTGACCCATTCCCTCAGTCCCTTGACCCATTCCCTCAGTCCCCTTGACCCATTCCCTCAGTCCCCTGACCCATTCCCTCAGTCCCCTGAGACATTTCCCTGGACTCCCTTGACCCATTCCCTGAGTCCCTTGACCCATTCCCTCAGTCCCTTGACCCATTCCCTCAGTCCCTTGACTTGACCCATTCCCTGAGTCCCTTGACCCATTCCCTCAGTCCCTTGACTTGACCCATTCCCTGAGTCCCTTGACCCATTCCCTCAGTCCCTTGACCCATTCCCTCAGTCCCTTGACCCATTCCCTGAGTCCCTTGACCCATTCCCTGAGTCCCTTGACCCATTCCCTCAGTCCCTTGACCCATTCCCTCAGTCCCTTGACCCATTCCCTCAGTCCTTGACCCATTCCCTCAGTCCCTTGACCCATTGCCTCAGTCCCTTGACCCATTCCCTCAGTCCCTTGACCCATTCCCTCAGTCCCTTGACCCATTCCCTCAGTCCCTTGACCCATTCCCTCAGTCCCTTGACCATTCCCTGAGTCCCCTTGACCCATTCCCTCAGTCCCTTGACCCATTCCCTCAGTCCCTTGACCCATTCCCTCAGTCCTTTGACCCATTCCCTCAGTCCCTTGACCCATTCCCTCAGTCCCTTGACCCATTCCCTCAGTCCCTTGACCCATTCCCTCAGTCCCTTGAACCATTCTCTCAGTCCTTTACCCATTCCCTCAGTCCCTTGACCCATTCCCTCAGTCCCTTGACCCATTCCCTGAGTCCCTTGACCTATTCCCTCAGTCCCTTGACCCGTTCCCTCAGTTTTTTGACCGATTCCCTCAGTCCCTTGACCCATTCCCTCAGTCCCTTGACCCATTCCCTCAGTCCCTTGACCCATTCCCTCAGTCCCTTGACCCATTCCCTGAGTCCCTTGACCCATTCCCTCAGTCCTTGACCATTCCCTCAGTCCCTTGACCCATTCCCTGAGTCCCTTGACCATTCCCTGAGTCCCTTGACCCATTCCCTCAGTCCCTTGACCCATTCCCTCAGTCCCTTGACCCATCCCTCAGTCCCTTGACCCATTCCCTCAGTCCCTTGACCCATTCCCTCAGTCCCTTGACCTTCCCTCAGTCCCTTGACCCATTCCCTCAGTCCCTTGACCCATTCCCTGAGTCCCTTGACCCATTCCCTCAGTCCTTGACCCATTCCCTGAGTCCCTTGACCCATTCCCTCAGTCCCTTGACCCATTCCCTCAGTCCCTTGACCCATTCCCCAGTCCCTTGACCCATTCCTCAGTCCCTTGACCCATTCCCTGAGTCCCTTGACCCATTCCCTCAGTCCCTTGACCCATTCCCTCAGTCCCTTGACCCATTCCCTCAGTCCCTTGACCCATTCTCCTCAGTCCCTTGACCCATTCCCTCAGTCCCTTGACCCATTCCCTCAGTCCCTTGACCCATTCCCTCATCCCTTGACCCATTCCCTCAGTCCCCTTGACTGTTCCATTCCCTCAGTCCCTTGACCATTCCCTCAGTCCCTTGACCCATTCCCTCAGTCCCTTGACCCATTCCCTCAGTCCCTTGACCCATTCCCTCAGTCCCTTGACCCATTCCCTGAGTCCCTTGACCCATTCCCTCAGTCCCTTGACCCATTCCCTCAGTCCCTTGACCCTTCCCTCAGTCCCTTGACCCATTCCCTCAGTCCCTTGACCCATTCCCTCAGTCCCTTGACCATTCCCTCAGTCCCTTGACCCATTCCCTCAGTCCCTTGACCCATTCCCTCAGTCCCTTGACCCATTCCCTCAGTCCCTTGACCCATTCCCTCAGTCCCTTGACCCATTCCCTCAGTCCCTTGACCCATTCCCTCAGTCCCTTGACCCATTCCCTCAGTCCCTTGACCCATTCCCTCAGTCCCTTGAGACATTCCCTCAGTCCCTTGACCCATTCCCTCAGTCCCTTGACCCATTCCCTCACTCCCTTGACCCATTCCCTCAGTCCCTTGACCCATTCCCTCAGTCCCTTGACCCATTCCCTCAGTCCCTGACCCATTCCCTCAGTCCCTTGACCCATTCCCTCAGTCCCTTGACCCATTCCTCAGTCCCTTGACCCATTCCCTGAGTCCCTTGACCCATTCCCTCAGTCCCTTGACCCATTCCCTCAGTCCCTTGACCCATTCCCTCAGTCCCTTGACCCATTCCCTCAGTCCCCTGACCCATTCCCTCCCTCAGTCCCCTGAGACATTCCTCAGTCCCTTGACCCATTCCCTCAGTCCCCTGAGACATTCCCTCAGTCCCTTGACCCATTCCCTCAGCCCTTGACCCATTCCCTGAGTCCCTTGACCCATTCCCTCAGTCCCTTGACCTATTCCCTCCCTCAGTCCCTTGACCCATTCCCTCAGGACCTTGACCCATTCTCTCAGTCCCTTGACCCATTCCCTCAGTCCCTTGACCCATTCCTCAGTCCCTTGACCCATTCCCTGAGTCCCTTGACCTATTCCCTCAGTCCCTTGACCTGTTCCCTCAGTCCCTTGACCGATTCCCTTAGTCCCTTGACCCATTCCCTCAGTCCCTTGACCCATTCCCTCAGTCCCTTGACCCATTCCCTCAGTCCCTTGACCCATTCCCTGAGTCCCTTGACCCATTCCCTCAGTCCCTTGACCCATTCCCTCACTCCCTTGACCCATTCCCTCAGTCCCTTGACCCATTCCCTGAGTCCCTTGACCATTCCCCTCAGTCCCTTGACCCATTCCTCAGTTCCTTGACCCATTCCCTCAGTCCCCCTTGACCCGTTCCCTCAGTCCCTTGACCCATTCCCTCAGTCCCTTGACCTTCCCTAAGTTCCCTCAGGCCCTTGACCCGTTCCCTCGTCCCTTGACCCATTCCCTCAGTCCCTTGACCCATTCCCTCAGTCCCCTGACCCATTCCCTCCCTCATGTCCCCTGAGACATTCCCTCAGTCCCCTTGACCCATTCCCTCAGTCCCTTGACCCATTCCCTCACTCCCTTGACCCATTCCCTCAGTCCCTGACCCATTCCCTGAGTCCCTTGACCCATTCCCTCAGTCCCTTGACCCATTCCCTCAGTCCCTTGACCCATTCCTCTCAGTCCCTTGACCATTCCCTCAGTCCCTTGACCCATTCCCTGAGTCCCTTGACCCATTCCCTCAGGCCCTTGCCCATTCCCTCAGTCCCTTGACCCATTCCCTCAGTCCCTTGACCCATTCCCTCAGTCCCCTGACCCTTCCCTCAGTCCCTGAGACATTCCCTCAGTCCCTTGACCCATTCCCTCAGTCCCTGAGACATTCCCTCAGTCCCTTGACCCATTCCCTCAGTCCCTTGACCCATTCCCTGAGTCCCTTGACCCTTTCCTCAGTCCCTTGACTATTCCCTCAGTCCCTTGACCCATTCCCTCAGTCCCTTGACCCATTCCCTCAGTCCTTGACCCATTCCCTCAGTCCCTTTGACCCATTCCCTCAGTCCCTTGACTTTACCCATTCCCTCAGTCCTTGACCCATTCCCTCAGTCCCTTGACCCATTCCCTCAGTCCCTTGACCCATTCCCTCAGTCCCTTGACCCATTCCTCAGTCCCTTGACCCATTCCCAATCAGTCCCTTGACCCATTCCCTAATCGCTTGACCCATTCCCTCAGTCCCCGAGTTGTCCCATTCCTCAGTCCTTGACCCATTCCCTCAGTCCCTTGACCCATTCCCTCAGTCCCTTGACCCATTCCCTCAGTCCCTTGACCCATCCCTCAGTCCCCTGACCCATTCCTCAGTCCCTGACCTATTCCCTCAGTCCCCTGACCCCATTTCCTCAGTCCCCTGAGACATTCCCTCAGTCCCTTGACCCATTCCCTGAGTCCCTTGACCATTCCCTGAGTCCCTTGACCCATTCCGAGTCCCTTGACCTATTCCCTCAGTCCTTGACCCATTCCCTCAGTCCCTTGACCCATTCCCTCAGTCCCTTGACCCATTCCCTTAGTCCCTTGACCCATTCCCTTAGTCCCTTGACCCATTCCCTTAGTCCCTTGACCCATTCCCTTAGTCCCTTGACCCATTCCGTCTGTCCCTTGACCCCTTCCCTCAGTCCCTTGACCCATTCCCTCAGTCCCTTGACCCATTCCCTCAGCCCCTTGACCCATTCCCTCAGTCCCTTGACCCATTCCCTCTGCCCCTTGACCCATTCCCTCTGTCCCTTGACCCATTCCCTCAGTCCCTTGACCCATTCCCTCAGTCCCAGACCCATTCCCTCAGTCCCTTGACCCATTCCCGCAACTGGACGCGTCTGGATGCAACTGGACGCGTCTGGACGCAACTGGACGCGTCTGGACGCAACTGGACGCGTCTGGACGCAACTGGACGCGTCTGGACGCAACTGGACGCGTCTGGACGCAACTGGGCGCGTCTGGACGCAACTGGACGCGTCTGGACGCAGCTGGACGCGTCTGGACGCAACTGGACGCGTCTGGACGCAACTGGACGCGTCTGGACGCAGCTGGACGCGTCTGGACGCAGCTGGACGCGTCTGGACGCAACTGGACGCGTCTGGACGCAACTGGACGCGTCTGGACGCAACTGGACGCGTCTGGACGCAACTGGACGCGTCTGGACGCAACTGGACGCGTCTGGACGCAACTGGACGCGTCTGGACGCAACTGGACGCGTCTGGACGCAACTGGACGCGTCTGGACGCGTCTGGACGCGTCTGGACGCAACTGGACGCGTCTGGACGCAACTGGACGCGTCTGGACGCAACTGGACGCGTCTGGACGCAACTGGACGCGTCTGGACGCAAGTGGACGCGTCTGGACGCAACTGGACGCGTCTGGACGCAACTTGACGCGTCTGGACGCAACTTGACGCGTCTGGACGCAACTGGACGCGTCTGGACGCAACTGGACGCGTCTGGACGCAACTGGACGCGTCTGGACGCAACTGGACGCGTCTGGACGCAACTGGACGCGTCTGGACGCAACTGGACGCGTCTGGACGCAACTGGACGCGTCTGGACGCAACTGGACGCGTCTGGACGCAACTGGACGCGTCTGGACGCAACTGGACGCGTCTGGACGCAACTGGACGCGTCTGGACGCAACTGGACGCGTCTGGACGCAACTGGACGCGTCTGGACGCAACTGGACGCGTCTGGACGCAACTGGACGCGTCTGGATGCGTGTGGACGCGTCTGGACGCGTCTGGACGCGTCTGGACGCAACTGGACGCGTCTGGACGCAACTGGACGCGTCTGGACGCGTCTGGACGCAACTGGACGCGTCTGGACGCAACTGGACGCGTCTGGACGCAACTGGACGCGTCTGGACGCGTCTGGACGCTGTGCCCTCAGCTCCCTACGTGCCACCATGCGTTGAAGTTTTGAGGTGCAACATTGATAGTATTATTTCTTCCCATCCCCGTCCCTGTGCCTCCCATCTCTGTCTCGCCTCAGATGGGCACCATCTGTGGCTTCAGCGCACCTTGTGTAGGATGAGCATTCTTTCAAACCGCACTGCACTGCACCGCATCTCCTTCTTCCTCCGCGCCTTTCCACCAACCCTGTCTTCATACCTCTGCCTCTCTTTCTTATCCCAGATCGGCATCTGCTGTGGCTTCAGCACTCCCTACGTGGCAGCACAAGTCAAAGTGAGTCAAACAAGTAAAAATGGGTTGTACCTGGGGCAAGGGCGGGTCACGCAAGTCACGCATGGGTAGGAACAACAAGGTGATTCAAGCAAGTCAAGGTGGGTCCAGCAAGTCAAAATAGGATTCTGTGTGGGGCAAGCGTGGGTTACAAAAGACACGCACAGGTAAAAAAGTGAAGGCAAGTCAAGGCGGCTCGAGCAAGTCAAGCGTGGGTCAAGCAAGTGGGCACTTCAAAGGGAACCCACAAGGTGGTTTTGGGTCAGGGCTACCGGAAGGAAGGGGGCATGCTGTGACTGATTTTCAGGGCGTTCTAGAAAGACCCCCTCAGGGTGAGTCCCCCTCAAGGTGTTGTTTGGAGACATGGGCATATGATGAGTCAAGTTTTCCTCGACTCATTCTGACCAAGCTTGTTTTGTGCCATGGAGGCGGGCAAAACTCGTCCATCTGTTTTTAAACTGAGGCACGGCCCGTAACTTGAACATATGGTTGACTTGTATAAACTCGCAAATCCCTCTCCCCTCGAGCGAGTCCATCAAAACTCGACTCAAATCATCCTGCCTGTCACCCACAATCATGCCAAATTTGTGTGGATCTGGCGGGAAATGCTAGATCTTCGCAGATCTAGCCCTGAAATATTCCAAGTCGAAGTAAAACAACTTCTCAAGTTGAGGGACAGGTGATGTGATGGGAGGAGGTGGTGGGAGGAAGTGTTGGGCAGGGGGTAGGGGAAGGATGGTGGGAGGGTGATGATAAGAAGTTTTTTTTTTATGATTTGCAAGATTCTTTCCCTCGTACACAATGGTTAGAATTCTCAAAGAGTCTCAAGCATTCATGAAGGCTGAAGGATTGGTTTTGGATTTTTTTTGCGCGTATGCAGCCTTCAACGTTCAAACCATCCCTATCCACCCACCCCAACCCCTCCTTCCGCTTTGTCCGTTCTTGCTTGACGCTACCCTCCCATCCGTCCACCCTCTCATATGCCGCTGCTCATAGCATTAGCACCTCAAACCACCCCCATCACCCAATGGCACCTGCCCCTCCACGTGCTCCCCGCGCCCGTAACCTCTTCCACATGGCACCATCCACCAGACGGCCCCCACAACAAACAACTCTTGACTTGGCCCTATCGTGGATTGTTTGAAGAGTTGTTCATCACCTGTTGTGGTCCTCGCATCCATCCCATCAGACGTCGCTGCATGCAGAATTCACCCCTTGATGCAGCTGTGGTCGTTGCGTCCCTCTCCCCCCCGGCTACCCTCTCTCCCATGCCACCACACACCGGGCGGGCAGTCTTGAAGCGGCCGTCTCATCCATCCTATCAGATGCTGCCACATTCAAGCGCAACATTTCAATCTTCAAACACTCCCTCTCCCCCCCCTCCCCCCCACCATCTCCTCACCTCTTGCTTGCACTGCAGTGCCCTCACACTTTCCTCATCTCTTTCTATTTCAATCCATTGCCCTCACACACACCTCATCTCTTATCCTTGCATCTCCGAGCTTCATTTCTTGCAGCAAGAAATTGAAGTCTGCTGGCGTCCACGAGCCGAACAGGCTGCAACCAAGACTTGCTACAGTCAATGCAGAGTCATGCAGGGGAAATCTAGTACCAAACAACAACCGGTCCGGTTGTGTTCCTCTTCGTCTAGAAAATATAAAAAGTGATAGGTGTGAGTTACGTAATTAATTGCCCTGCACTAGCTAAGTTCGTATGCGTTGTAGCGCGTTAATGTTTCCATGTGATGGTTAAATTAGCAGAGAAACTGATGGGGTTTGATCCAAAGTAGTATCTAGAAGTTGGTTCATTACGTTGTATAAGGGAATGTAAATCTATTTCTGTAGACTGCTTTGGCCTGCGCCGGTATATTCTGAAGAGTTTGCTTAAACTGGTTCGGCCTACAAATTCGCTCCGAACCACTTCCAAATCGCTACCGGACCTTTTGTCATATCCCGAGCCTCGCCCCCGAGGTCCTCGCCTAGCTCGACTCTAAATATTTTATCCTCGTTTTAGACACTCGTAGGACATCGGTTCCGTAGTTTCTAGAGCCTCGCACCCATAACAGTTGGTTCATCGAATCAATTTTCTCGAATTAGCCTACATTGCGTTACGCCTACACTTGGCAAACAATGGCGGCTTTCTCAACTCTGTTGGAGTACACATGACCCGCGTTCAAGATGGGGCGTCAGTTTAGTGGCTCGATAGCGGTCGCGTCAAAGCGAGCAACAGGGAGACGATAGAGCGACGGACGGCGACAAAACCGCGATCGTCGACGGCGGAAAAGGACCAGTGGACGACAAAAATGGAATAGCAGAGGAGCGACGGTAGACGATGAGAGAGCGACGAGCGACGGTAGACGATGAGAGAGCGACGAGCAACGGTAGACGACGAGCGACGGTAGACGACGATAGCGATTAAAAACGACAGCAATGGCGGGCGGTGCAAGCACGGGTGCACAGGCAGGGCTGTCGAGACAGCGGCGGCGACGGCGGCGGTGACACCGGCGGAAGCAGCCGCGTCGCTGCGAGCAGCACAGATCAGAGCGGCGGCGACGGCGGTGGTGGCGTGAAGAGGAGGTAGAAGCCCGCGCCACTGCGACAGAGCGACAAGCAGGCAATGACAGAGCGCGACGTACAGTGATAAGAGAGCGACGGATTGCGCAATTGAGCGATTGTCGACGGAGATAAGCGACAAAGACCGACATGCGATGGTGGAGAGCCGTGGGAGCAGATGCGCGAGGCAAATCGGTAATGGCGGGTGGGACCAACACGCGCGCGCAGGTTAAGCTCCCAGCTGCGGAAGCGGGCCGAAACAGTGGAGGCGACGGCGGCGGAAGCATGTGTCGCTGTGAGCAGCACAGACCGGAGTGGCGGCGGTAGCGCGAAGAGGGACGGGGGTAGCAGTGACGGGGGTAGCAATGACAGGGGTAGCAGTGACGTGGGTGGGTGAGCGCAGACGGGGGTAGCAGTGAAGGTTGGCCGCACGTGGGTGGATTGGAGGCGGAGCGGGGAGGGGAGGCGCAGGGAGGGGAGGAGAAAAGGGGGTTGCGGGCACGTGCTGTTTGAGTTTGGCAGACGCGAGGCGAGGAGGGGAAGGAGGCGGAATAGGGGGCGGAGCAGAAGAGCAGATTTGGGGAGAAGAGGCAGGCAGGGAAGTGGGAAAGGCGGGATAGAGGGAACGAGGGAGATC